CACCTGGCCGCCCACCTGAAAAACTTTTCCCCAAGTTCCCGAGAAGTCGCGTAGGATCCAGGAGAGAAAAATCAAAGTAATAAAACCTCATTTAATTCCTAGCGGAGGGCAGAGCTGCGAGCTGCAATTATCTTAATGCGGAGCTATTTTTACCCTCTCTCCATCTCTGTCTCCTGCCTCTCTCCACCGTGCGCGCTCTTCCTCTTGCTCCCTTTGTCTCTCGTCTCTCACACGTGCTTTCTGTCTCTTTGCCTTTGCCGGCCTCCCCCATCTCTCTCTCACATCCTGTCTCTGTGCCATCTCTGCCATCCTTCCTCCTCCTTCCTGTCTGTCCCTTGTGTCTGTCCCTCTGTCAGCCAGTCTTCCTTCCCTGCCTCCTGGTTCCAGTGTTCACAGTCAGAGGCCAGCAAAGTCCCCGTGGTCCGGGCATAGCTGAGAGGAGGATTCTCTGCTCCCGTCTCCCTTCTCGGCTGCTCCAGCCTGGGGTCAGTGGGATGTTCCTGGCTCAGGGGCTCCAGAGCTCCAAGGTGTCGTCCGGAATCAAGCCCTCCTGATGGAATGAGGCTTGGCCGCCATGTTCCCCAAGGCCTTTTCAGCTCCGATGGGCTCTGAGCTGGCACTGGTGGTGATGCCTCCCTGTCCCTGTCCTCTGTCCCCTCACGTCACCCCTCGATGCTTCTGCCACAGACCCCTCACCGCACCGCTGTCCCCCACCCAGCTCTCCAGGGGCTGCGTGGGCCTTGCCTTCTGTGTGCCCCCCTTCTTCTCAGGCCTCCTCACCCACCTCAGGCCTTCTGAGGCATGGCCAAATTGGTCTCTGCCACTCCTCACCGCACCCCATCTCCAGGAGGGGCTCTGGGCCCAGCCAGGTGCTGCCAGAGAGGCCCACACCCCTGAGCCAACGGCCTGGCTTCCGGCTGTTACCCGACAAGTCTATAAGTCAACACACACACAGGGACTGGAGCCAGGCCCCGGGCTGGTGGATGAGGAGCTGAGCGACCAGGACGCCTCACTCCCCTGAGCAGAGACCTGCCCCTGCCGTCCCCAGCCCGTCACCCCCAGGTGGGCCCTGACCCCACGTTTCTTCCGGCCTCCTGCTCCACCAAGGACCCAGCATGCTGGGGCGGGGAGTGGAAAAACCACGGAGTTGCTGGGGCAGAGAGGGCTCCTGGTGGGTCCAGGCCTGAGAGTGACCAAGACGCCAACACAAACAGAGCCCCAGGAAGACTCACGCATGTGCACACGGCTACACACGCCCCCTCTAGGTGCTAGAGAGGCGTCCAGACCCTCACAGGGTCCGCAGAGGGCGACGCCAGCTCCCGCAGACAGCAGGCCTGGACAGACCAAAGGCAACATCCCGCCCCCAGGGCCAGCTCCTCCCTCCCCCCCCTT